AAATGTCTTAATGAAAGTTGGTGGGATTGCTCAGCAGGTAAAAGTGCTTGCTACCAACTCTGCCAAAACCCACATAATTGAAAGAGAACTAACGCCTATAAGCTGTCCTCTGACCTCTACACATGTGCCTTGGTACTTGCCTTTGATTAGCCGCTCAGGTCTTGTTCCTGGCAAAGTCCACATCGCCTGTGCCAAGTGTCCAAAGACAGTGGCATCAAGAGTGGAAAGCTTGGGCCCCATGATGTACTTCTTGTCACCTGCAGAAAAATGAATATAAAGGTAACTAGATTGACCCCACTGTCCAATATGATCACAAAGGCATTAAACACATTCTCCTTATGTGGTTGTTTAACTGTGCACCAAAAATCTTTATAGGGTCAAAACATGTGCATGCCCTTTCCATAGATAGATAGATAGATAGATAGATAGATAGATAGATAGATAGATAGATATAGATGAATGTTCTATGACACAACAACTCCCAAAGTAGCAAAGCAGGGAAGCATGCTCACATACACAAGGGAATAAGGATGCTCCCAGAAAAAAGGAGTTATTTATCAACAACTAAATTCCAGACAACCTCCTTGTCTCAACTCTGGTAACAAAAACATCCGATGCTTACCAATACCTGGAAGTTCACTGCAACTATCTCAAAAGTAATTTATACCAAGCACCCAAGACCTCAGTGTTTATGAGACTAAATCAATACATTTGCCTAGAAACAAACAAAAGGCCTAGGCTAAGGAGTTTGAAGCAAGATTGTTCATGATACTCCCATGGACAGGGGCAGGGTAACTATTTTGCATAGAATGCCAGCATCCCTGGGAAACCTCAACTACAGAGAAGTTACAAGGTCAAAGGTTCATCCCTGGCAGCAGGCCCTAGCAGGGATGTTTCACACAACTCTCATATCTCTGTTTAAACAACACCGACGTTAAGTTCAGGCCTTGACGCATGGACTATCACACTTGACTAATAAGAACTGCCCAAGTTGTGTTTTGGGCTGCTGTTAAGTACTGGGTAGCATAAATAGAAACTTCTTTTTGCAGCAGACTGAAAGCAACTAAAAGCCACAACTAGTCAAAATGTAGAGAACAGTTGATATGATACAACTATAATAAAACCCCTATACCTACAGCTCAGGGGACATCACAGAAGAGGGACAAAAATATTTTAAGAGCAAACAGACCGAAACTCCTGTTTCTGAAAATGGCAGAAAAGCTACAGCCATGAAATCTCCATGATACGGTTGTCTATACACTGCCTGAGCAGTGATTAATATATCAACATGGATGGGGATGTCATAGGAGCCGCCCCTAGATGAAGAGCTATAGGCAAATAACCACTCTTGAGAACAGGAGAGTTTGTCTTCTCCAGGGCAGAGCCCCTACTAGGTTATCCAACACCAAGTGGTCAGCCCTAAAAAATGCACACATAACCAAAAGTAAATGGCCTCAGCAGGTTTCATTATTCAAAAATACTCATCACAACAATAATGAAAGAAAAAGAGGCCATGCATTTGAGAGGCAATGGCATGTGGGGAGTTGGGAGAGGTCAGAGGGAAATATGTGAAATTTTTTTAATTCATGTAATGGAGAAGAAAAAATGCCCCAATGGGGTTGGAGAGATGGCTCAGAGGTTAAGAGCACTGGCTGCTCTTCCAGAGGTCCTAAGTTCAATTCCCAGCAGCCACATTGTGGCTCAGTCATCTGTAATGAGATCTCTTCTGGCATGTAGGCACACATATAGGCAGAACACTGTATACATAATAAGTAAATATTTTTTTATAAAAGCTACCCCAAGTTGTCTTCTGGGCTGTTGTCGGGTACTGTATTGTAAAGAGGCAATAGTAGAAGTGTATGCACCCATGTTACATCCTGGAATCTGGTTATCTGTCCTGACCATAACCTAACTTCTAAAGGTTTCCTGTCTGCAATAGGAGATGACATTAGGAGTACTTGTTCCCAGGGCTTGGGATATATCTTAGTCAATACAGTGTTTGCTTTGTAAGGATAACAACTTAAGTTTAATCCCTACAACCCACATTTTAAAAATATGGGCACGACAGCATGCTTTCATAACCTCCTTTCTGAGAAGCCAAGCTGAGCCTATTTTGTGAGTATCAGGTGAGTGAGAGATCCTGTCTCAAAAGAAAGGTGAACAACACCTAAGGAATGACACCTGAGGCTGTTCCCTAAGGAATGACACCTGAGGCTTGGCACCTCTAGATGCCAAGCACAAATAAGCCTGTTCCTCAAAACTACTGTGGGGAATGTAAAACTATAAAACATTCTGCATCAGTTTTTAGTAACTTAGTGACCACTAGCTCTTGTGAGGACACTCTCCCTTTCTTACCACATGAATGTAATCTTATAAGATCATGTCATTCCTTTTCACAAACACTTTCAAAGGCTTATTAAAGAAGCTAGTAAATAAATTCCAAACTCAACCTGGAAGACAAGGACCATGGTCCTCTGCTCCCAACTCAACCTGTACTCCAGTGAAACCCCTCTCTTCCTTTATTCTTTGATCCCACTGTTCTGTTCCCCAGCACATGGTGTCTCCGTTGCTACACTTCACACACTACACTCTACAGCCTATATGGGTTCCCAGTTCTATCTCATCAATCCCATTTATCTTTGAGGTTCATCACCAGCTTCCTTTGAAAGATTTCTCTCTTACTCTGCTCAGTGATAATGGGAGTTTTCAATTCACACAGCTGAAGCTCAGTCTCACTGCCATCCATGTAACCACACAGGACATAAAGGAATATGACATAATGCCATATTCCTCAACTATAAAGTGGGTGTATTTTCAAATTATTGAGAAGACTGAGGTGACAAGAACTAAGCACAAAGGGAATAAATATATTCTCCCTGCTTCCTCCTCTCAGACCCCTTACATAGTATTTTTCCTCTGCTGTGCATGCCCAGGTTATCTTTTATCAGTGGATTTTATCCTTCCGGTAGGTGAAAAGCTCTCTGAAAGAAGGATCACTTCTTATATTTACTTAACAAACTCTTGCAGCATGCTTTTATTTTCCTGGTATGGCCATATCCTAGAAGCATCCTTGAGTGGCGCACTGAGGAAGTTGGACCTGTGATGTCAATTCACAGGCCAGGTAAGAGGGGAAATTTCTACAGGAGGCAACACAAGGAAACAAGCCAGGAAAAGCAAATAAAATTAGGAGATATTATTTTTTAAAATTATGTCTACTGCCACGAATGGGGGTGCATCTCTTCAATCTCCATATCCAGGAGGCATAGACAGGAAGATTTTTTTTGTGAGTTTGAGGTATTGTGTGATGTTCAGGCCAGCCAGGGATACATAATGAGAACTTGTCTCAAGAAAAGAGAGAGGGAGAAAGGGAGGGAAGGGAGAGGGTAGGAGGGAGGGGGGAGGGAAGAAGGGAGGGAGGGAAGGAGGGAGAGAGAATGTCTACTATGCATTCCATAGGAACCAAAGAATCCCTATAT